GTGGTCATCCCACTTTTACTTACAAGTGATGTAATTAAGAAAAAGATCCCTTGCTGGTGTATCCAGCTGTGGGTTTTAGTTCATTCCAGATGTAGTCCAGTTGACAACAGAGACTAGCCATCACAGGTCCACAGCCTCTTTCTTGGTCAGGAGCCCCATGCCCAAGGTCTGGTCTCTTCCTGTGAATATACTGTAACCAGAAATCTTGTGGGAAAAGAAGAGGCCATTAGCGTGTCAAGGAAACATCTATGACCCAGCCCCCGTATGTGAGTGTGTGAGTGTGTGAGTGTGAGTGTGTGTGTTGAGTGAGTGTGTGTGAGAGTGTGTGAGAGTGTGAGTGTGTGAATGAGTGTGTGTGAGTGAGTGCGTGTGAGAGACTGTTGTTGAGTGTGTGTGAGAGTATGTGAGAGTGAGTGCGTGTGAATGAGTGTGTGTGAGTGAGTGCGTGTGAGAGAGTGTGTGTGAATGAGTGTGTGTGAATGAGTGTGTGTGTGAGAGAGAGAGAGAGAGAGAGAGAGAGAGAGAGAGAGAGAGAGTGTGTGTGTGTGTGTGTGTGTGCATGGGGGGGCAGCAGTTGTTGGATATCTTCCTCAGTTGCTCTCCACCTTGCTTTTTGAGACATATGTACCCAACTTGTATTCGGGTTCTGGAGATCAAGCAGGGGACTTCATGGAGAGCTTCTTACCAACCAGACCACTTTTCCAGACACCAATCCATAATGTTTAAATTCATCTCACCTCTTACGTACTCATTATGTGTGAGGACTATTCCTCTAGGTCACCTCTGACAGAATTCACTGTAGGGAATAAAACAGGAAAAGGCCTGTGACAAAGCCCACTCTTCACCAGCCAGCACGGAGCTTAGCAGCTGTACTGTCCTTGGCTAACTTGCTCTCCGGAATGTGTTCTGGCTGATACATCATGGGACAGCCACTGAGCTCCAGCTGAGCTGCCAGAGATGAACAAGCCCACTATTGTCCTTGAGTTTGTCCCGCACCTTCATAGAGGACAGTAATGGTGTCCATCAGGCTGAAGAAACAGCTCAGTGGTAGCATGCTCTCTTCCCATGCAGGGGGCTGTAGATTCACTCCCCCGTATGGAGTGTCGATCAAAGCTGACTTGAGTTGGGTTGGATCTAACAGTGTTATTGCAGTTTTCCAGGGATATGGATAAACATGTCATTTTTCCACAGCCCCTCCCACTCCCATACTTAATGAGGCCATTTTTTGCAATTCTCATTAGATAGAAGGAATTTGGGGCTCTTTTACAGCTAAAATACCAGTATTTCTTTGATGAATTATTAAAATTCTAAATTGGAATGTTGGAGCTTTTCTAGTTTTATTATCCCTTAATAATTAATAAAAATGATCTATTTGCATGAAGTCACACACACACACACACACACACACACACACACACACACACACATTTGCACTGAGACTAAAAGAGGAGCAGCCCCCTCTTCTAGCTGGCATTGATCCGAGGCAAAGACCCCATGTGGTGTGTGATTGCAGTTGTGCTCTGGTCCAGCATGACTCCTGCTGCCTTCATGCCTTAGCTGTGACAAGAGCAGCTTCAGTCTCTAATCTGCAAAGAAGCCATCGAAGGCCGATCAGGTTTAAATACCTTTCCGTGAATGTTTCCATCTGTTCACAATGTGGGCACTTGCTCTGTTTAGGCAGAGTGGGGATACTCGTTTTTCATCTCCTAGGTCCTCCACAACCCCCACTGGGAGTAGGGGTGAAGGTGGGAAAGAGACAATGAGAAAGGGCAGGAGCAGAGGCAGGGCCGGGGCTGGGAGGCCAGTACCCTTCCACGAGTTTCCCAAAAGGAAGTCAAGCATTGTCTGCTCAGCCTCAAGATGTAGCAGAGTTGCAGCTGCCCAGAGCATCCATGCAGGGCTGTGCCACCAGCTGTCCAACATCCCAAGACTCCAGATCCGAGATGGGACAAACAGAGCCCAGAAGCTTCTTCCACTCTGAAAGGTGGCTTATGGAAGATGTTTTTCCAAAAGACTGGAAGACAGGTAGCTCAGTTTGTATGCTTGCCTAGCTCGCACAAGCCAGGCACAAACCAGGTGTATGGTGCATGCTGTGGGCTCAGTACTTGGGAGGTAGAAGGGGGAGAATCAGAGGTGGAGAGCAGCCTCACTACATATTATATTTTATGTTAATCTGGGCTACATGAAACCCTTTCTGAAGTGGGGGGTGGGGGGCAGGCTGGAGAGATGGATTAACCATTACGAGCACTCACTGGCTGCTCTTCCAGAGGACCCAGGTTCCATTCCCAGGACCCACATGCTGGGTCACAGTCACCTGTAACTCTAGTCCCAGAGGATCCAATACCCTCACTGGCCTCTACAGACACTCGGCCTGCACAGCCACAAACACGGGCAAAACACTCATACACATAATGTTAAATAAGAAATGTTTAAAAAGACAGGAACCCAAATTTTCATTTTACACAAAGGAAAAGAACAAGCTAAGAAGGGAGACAGAAGAAATAAAAAACACCCCTAAAGACCTGATTTATTTCAGACTTGGCACAACTTTTCAGCCTGAGGTCTGGAGAGCTTTGAGGGGGCATCACTCAAAACAATTTTTGCGGTAGGATAATCAATATTAACCAGCTCCCTGGTTACCAGCAGCTTTTGAAAGTCTTCATTTCGAGCGGCTCTGCCTGCCTCACTACAGTGGAAGGACTCTGTGTGACCAAAAAAGGCCAAGCCCCGCTCCACTGCACAGGGGGTAGGAGAAAAAGATGCAAGAAGTGTCTGGAGAGATGGCTCGGTCAAGAAGGGCCCGTTGTTCTTGCAGAGGACCAGAGTTTGGTTCCCAGCACCCACAGAGACTCATAACTGCCTGCAACTCCGGCTCCAGGGATTCCATACCCTCATCTGAGCTTGGTGTCACCTGCACCAAGGGGTGTGTGTGTGTGTGTGTGTGTGTGTGTGTGTGTGTGTGTGTGTGTACAAACAAGCATGTGCATACACATAAATAAAAATAGTAAAGCAAATCTTGTTTTTAAAGGCAGCAGGAAATGCAGGTGACTGCCTGGGTGAGGGTTGTGGTGAAAGAGAAACTGGGCTGCTAACTACTATCCAGAACTTGGTATTTGGCTTTTATCAAGGATGGGGGCGGCAGGATATATCAGACTATGCTTGTTCAATGCCAGATGCTAGGCTGGTCCTGAGTTTTATGATGGTTACTCTGTTTGCCCTCTGGCTACACAAGAGGTGGGCGCACGCTGTCATGAAGTGTAGATTGGAGCACAATCTTGTTGAGCTGATTTGTCCCTTGAATAGCGGGCTGTCTTTGTAGTTCCCTGAGAACCTCTCCCTAGATGTCCTTTGAGACCGCTGCAAGCCCAGAGACCAACACACAGGGACCCTTGGCTCACCAAGTGGGTAGGAAAGGAATTCCCAAGGGAGAAACTGCAGAAGAAACCCTCACTATCCATGCTTCCTTTTTCTGGCCCAGCACCTAGTGTTCCTCCCATCATGCCCAGCTAGAGTGCCATGAACACTGGGCTCCTTCCTCTAGCAGTGGGTTTGGCTTCACTATCCTCAGAGAAACTCTCAAGTAACTTTGGAACTTAGGCTGAATCGTCAGTCTTGGCTTTTTCCGTGCTTTCATTTGCTTGTTACAGTTTTCAAAGCCCATTGAATCATCTGTGAAAATGAGTGATGGTACATCTGCCAAAACATAGTGTGGGTGGTGGCATCCTGCTATCTATTCTGCACACACAAAGAAAGGATGCTGCTAATTACATCTGTCCTGTCCTCATGTACCCGTCTGCCTGCCTCAGCATGGTCGCTGCTGATGGTGTTCCAAGCTCAGGACTGAGGGAGGAGGGTGAGGCAGTCACAGCTTTCTTCTCTCCATGGTACGAACCCCAAGCTGAGGAAGGGTACTGTTGTGAAGTTCTGCTTTCAACTTTGGTTATGTTGGAGGGAGGGAGGGAGGCTAAGGAGGACTGGGGTGCCTCTTGGAAGCAAACAGTGGGACAGAAGACAGCCTGAACTGCAAGCAAGAAATGAAACCTTCTATGGTTTAACTTGTGGCCCATTCAAAGAATGGGTTTAGGAAAAATCACAGGTGCAATTCTGGAGTGTTTGGGCTATAGATGAAAAAGAAAAACCAAACAAACTAACTTGGAAGCTCATCTAAGAGAGATTGGCTTAGAGATTACCTGGTCTAACAAGAATGGGCCCTGGGCCGGGCGTTGGTGGCTCACGCCTTTAATCCCAGCACTTGGGAGACAGAGGCAGGTGGATCTTTGTGAGTTCGATCCCAGCCTGGTCTACAAGAGCTAGTTCCAGGACAGCCTCCAAAGCCACAGAGAAACCCTGTCTTGAAAAACAAACAAACAAACAAACAAAACAAAAAAAACAAGAATGGGCCCAAGGAAGTCAGAGTGATGGAACAAGATGAAGGGAGGAGCAGGACACTGAATACAGTTTTTTAGACAGCCTTGCAGGGAACTCAGGAAAGGCCCACCTGTGTCCCCAGGCTTCTGTGTGGCATCAGAGTAGGGAAATAACCATTCTTTGGTTATTGTTTGGCATTCTTTGGGTGACTTTATGGAATGAAATGGAAGGGAGGGATGTTCTATGTGAGTCCGACAAGAGAGGACGCATGCCGCCAGCATCCTCGGTCAGATAAGTCTTTATAAAATATATAGATTAATGCTTATGGTTGATAATTAAGACTGAGCTAGCAGATAAGAAATCCTAGTCACTGGCCAGCAGCATTGTAATTAATATAAGACTCTGTATGTTATTTCAGGTGCCCATGTAGCGGCGGCAGGGCTCAGGCAGCTTGGTGGAAAGAGTTATTGTTACAGTTCTACTGCGCCGGTTTTGCTCAAGTTCAGGCTATAGAAATCATAGCTCCTGGGCTGGAGAGATGACTCGGAGGTTAAGAGCACTGACTGCTCTTCCAGAGGTCCTGAGTTCAATTCCCAGCCACCACCTGATGCCTCACAACCATCCGTAATGAGATCTGGTGCCCTCTTCTGGTGTGTAGATATACATGGAAGCAGAATGTTGTATACATAATAAATAAATAAAATCTTAAAAAAAAAAAAAAGAAATCATAGCTCCTTAAGAGATCAAACCCGTCTGCTGGGCCCTTTCCTCTCGTGGCATAGGAATAAGACTTCAAGATGCTACTAACCGTGCAAAGCTTACTGTAGGTGTTGTAAGCTCTGGAGGTTTCAGCTGGGCTAACTCATCATTCTTTTAGGACAGAAGCTGAGGGGCAGACATCTTGTGACTCATGTCCCCCCACCTCAACGGAGATCTGCAGTGAGCCTCGGGCCCTGACACATTGTTCTGAACCCTTTCCGCCATACCTCAGTGCTTATGCAGACTTCAATCTTGAGAAAACTTTGTTCAAGGCTTTCCTGTATCAGCGGCACAATGAGTTTGTCTCCAAAGCTGGCTGCTGCTGCTACTGCTGCCAGTCTGCAGTCCTCCATTCTCTCCTGTTGCTGCTTGGCAGTTGTCTAAATCAGGCTTGCACTGTCCAGAGGCTGTCCTTTCTGCTGTTTGTGTTGTGTCCTGTAGAAGAGGTGTGACCTATAACGACGTCAAAGCCTCTGGGGAGGGATGTGTGCCACAGAACAAAATGACAGGGCATGGCAGCAGAAGGTCAAAGGTTTGACCAGGGGACTTTTATGTTTTAGTGTGGCCCAGGCTGGCGTCAAGCTCACTTGGTAGCAATCCTGACTTTGTTCCCAGCCCAGCAGAAGTCTGGATATTTTTGTAGATGAGGAGGGTCTCCCGAGTACCCCATCCTTGTGTCCCTGGATAATTCATCCCCCAAACACAGCGGCCTTAGGTGAGACACAACCAGAAAGCCTGACTTCTTCCCTCAGATCCCACAGACCAGAAGGAAGGCAAGCTGGAGGGGAGGGGAGGGTGCTGGTTGCTGTCTGAAGCACATGCTAACACTATGCATTGTGTCTTAGAAGAAAATCCACCCAGTGGCCAAATGGAGTCAGCAGAGCTGTGGCAGATGGAAGTCCCAGAGAGTTTCACCAGGGCTTCTGTGACTTGGCCTCTGGGTTCCCAGACTGTCTTCCTGGGCATCACTAAGGGCTGGGGCTTGGCACATGGTGGGGGATGGATGTCTCTTCAGAGAGAAGAATTCCAGGGTGAAGGGGGCTGCTGAAGGGAAGTTTAGCCGGGAAGGAAGGACACAGAGTCTGAGACCCCAGGGAGACAGAGACAGGGACACAGTCAGCAACGGGGAAGAAGAGACTGAGAGCGAGCTGATGAAGGAGATGTTGAGGGTAAGTTCCTTGAGCTGTCCTCTGGGCCATTTTCTTCCCTAAGGAGGCAGGTGATGTCCCCTGGGGGCAGTTTGGCATGAATGACTGTCCTCAGCAGGAACAAGGAAGAGATTCCCTGCCTATCCTGTCTTCCCCAGAGGCCCTGGGATGCCAGTCACTCTGGTTCAGTTATCTGTACCACTCACTATGGGACACACTCACTCCCTGGTGTATCCCAGGAGGAAGCAAATGACCAAGGGTAGCATTTTCTGGTGGCCTTGCACACTCTCATGGAAAGACAGGTGTCAACCTCCAGGCCCTTGATGGCTCCCTGAGTTTCCTCCACGTCTAAATGGACATCAAGTGTCTTCTTTGGGATTAGGACCATTTGAGTGGCTCCAGGGAGAACCTTCGGGTTCCCTTGATGAGCTGAAGGGTTCCACATCTGCACCAGTGCTACCTCAGATTAGGGGAACTCACCACTCATGCACAAGGCTTCACGTTTCTCGAATTAGAAAAAGGAACGGCTGCTGTGAGAGCCGCTGGACAGACGAGGACCCAGACTCAGAGAGATTAAGAAACTTGTCCAAAGTTACACAGATGGTAAGTGAGGGAGGCAGTCTGGGTCAACTGTGGAATAAATGTTGAAATGCTAGAGATGAAGAGATTGGATATTAGAGAACGATCTTGGTCTGCTTTGTATTGCTATAACAAAATGCCTAAAGCTGGGTAAACTGTAAAGAAAAGTTTATTGTGGAGAATGGTTGTGGAGGTAAGAAAGTCCAAGCCACATCTGGTGAGGACCTCGTGCTATCCATAAAATGGTTGATGACACGGTATATAAAATGGTCAAGGATGTGGCAAGAGCTGAAGCAAGATAGTGAAAGGGGAAACCCGGCTTCCTTAACAGCAGCTGTTCTGGAGGTACCATCCCTGTCCATGACACATACCCACTCTTTTTTATTTTACTATTTTAACCCCCAGCATGTGTGTGTGTGTGTGCGCGCGCGCGTGTGTGGTGCATTGGGGGAGGGGATATGCACATGCCAGGAAATATATGGAGGTTATTGGGCAACCTCAGGTGTCCATCCTTGCCTTCTATCTTGTTTGAGACAGGGAATCTTATTCTTTGCCATTGCATACACCTGGCTAGTTACCCATGAGCTCCACCTGTCTCTTCCTTCTGTCTTCTTGTAGGAGCACCTGGAATACAGGTAAGCGCCATTGTGTCTGGCTTTTTGCTATAGTGGTGTGTGTGTGTGTGTGTGTGTGTGTGTGTGTGTGTGTGTGTGTGTGTGTGTGTGTGTTTTCTAGGAGTCTGAATTCAGTTCGCTAGGATTGTGTAGCAAGCCTTTTACCTGAAAGACCCGCTCGGAATGCTTCTGCATGCCCCCTGCCCCTCTGTCTTCCCCGCCTGTGCCGGTGCTGGGTGTTCTCTCTGGAGCAGGCGGG